TTACTCTCATCCCCTGGATCCTGCAGGCAGACTTTGGTGCCAGCCACACTGACAGTGTGCTGCAAAGGGGCCGTGGCACCCTCACCACACATCCACATACACCCCCCATGTGGACTCTGCAAAGGAATCTTCATCGCAGAAAACCCAATGCACACAGGCACCCTGCTCCCAGGTTGCTCTCTGCACTGTCCTCTTCTCTTCTCATCTCATAGTCTTACTCACTGCTTACTCATTCTGAATATGAAAGGAAAGATGATTTGGGACACTCAGGATGGCCAATCACGGACTATGTCCACAGATACAGGACCAAAGTCCAGTGGATTTTGTTATGGCAGGGCTAGAGGACAGAAGAAATCTCTGGCAGCACAGGACATTTGGGACTAGAATGGGTGTCCAGAGAGGGTGAGATATTTTTACAGTCCTACAGAGACAGGAGAAAGCCCCAACTCTCCGCTTATGTAACATCCGTTCAGCCATTCAGCAAATATTTATTGAGTGTCTGCTGGAACGTTTTGATGCTAGACTAAGATCAGGTGCATGAGCAGTATGATCTGTGAGGTATCTGCTAGCCCCAAGAACATTATAGGTTTATAAGTATGTGATTTGGCCCTCAAAGAACCTCTTTCTAGAACAACATCTTCATCCAATAAAGTGCTGAACAACAAGGACAGGAAGTATCCACCAAAGGCAGTGACGTATCTATATCCCCCTCTCTGCCCTATTTCAGAAACAGATAACAATGACACCCCATCATAGAATCTAGGATCTGAGGTTGTCTGGGCCCTCCAGAGCTCAATTTTTCCATCACCCTACCCCTAAGAAAGACAGGACTTCCTTTGTCCTGGGCAAGTGTGGGTCATTCTGAGAGATTCCCTAACATAGCTGATCCCACAGCCTCCTTTGTCCAAGATGCAGGCCCTAGAAGTCCTTCCCATCACAAAACTCCTTCTTCCTTCATGCCTCCTTGTTCTCGCTTTTTAAGTTTTGTTTAAAGTTAATCTGTTATAATAGTCAATTGTTTCAACAACTAACACCTCACATACTATTTTCTAAAGAACACATTTAAAATTAATCAATCTGCCAAGTATGTGTTTGATATTAATTATATGCAAAAATCTATACTAGCTTTGGGAAGAGGTACAAATTTAAAAAATGGGAAAATGTATGGTGAGTCTAAAAACAGGCATCTAAATTGAAAATCTCAGCTCTGGCCCTTGTCCCTGTGACAACAATCCTCTTTCTCATCTCAGATTTATCATCTGTAAAATGGAAGGCGCAAGCCTTGCTCCATCTATCTCACTGGGTTGTTGCAAGGCTTGATTTAAAAAATAAATGGGGGCTTTATAAACTGTAAAATTCCATGTAAATGTGAGTCAGACACAATGCAGTGTAGTGGAAAAACACTGAACTTAAAGCCACAGAGTTAAGCAAGGCCCAGGACTGACTCTGTCAACTACTTCCCTTGAGACGTTGGGCAAATCACTTAACCTCTGTTTCCTGATGCATAAAAATGGCTTGTTGTGAAAGCTGAGACACTGCATGAAGAAACATTGCTCACTGGCTCCTGGGCCCTAGCTGATCCTCAGTCTGTTCAATCATTTGCAACCTACAAGGGGAGAACTGAGCAGGCAAGTGGACCTCAAAGGGGTTGCAGTAGCAGGGAGCACCTTGGTCTGGCCAGGCTTGAAGTGTCTGCCTGAGGAGCAATGAGAAGTGTGACCAGAAGGGCTGTGAAGTGGGGGACAAGGGGAAGGTGAGTGCCCCAGAAAGGAGTTCAAGCTTCAGAGAGACACTGATGGTGTCAGGACTGGGGAGTGTTAGAGAGAAGCTTCTTTGTGGGAAGTGGCTCAGGACTGGGGAGCACTCTGGAGTTGTTGGGTTCTCTACTCCAGAGCTGGGGCGCTAACCTGCTGCAATGGAATGTGTGATTCAGAGGGCGAGGACTGTCCAGCAGCTACTTGACATAACCAGAGCCCAGAGAAAGACCTAGGCAGATTTCTAAAACGTGGGCCTTTTATTACCCACCAATAGGTTTAACAGACGGCTGTGCTTGTGAAGTTTCTGTGGGTCAGAAATCGGTGGAGTGCCCTGGCTGGGTGTTTGGACTCCAGGTATCTCATGAGGTTGCAGTCAAGACATCATCTGGGGTTGCAGTCATCTGAAGGCGTGACCTGGGGAGCCACCTTCAAGATGGCGCACTCACAGCACTGGCAAAATGACATTGGCTGTTAGGCAAAGACCTAAAATCTGCACCACATGAGCCTTTCTATAGGACTGGTCAAGAGTCCTTTTGACATGGTCTCTAGCTCCCAGAGCAAGTGTCCAGGGAGCTCAAAGCCAGAGTTACAATGTCTTTGCTGACCTGGCTGGCGCCGCGGCTCACTAGGCTAATCCTCTGCCTACGGCACCGGCACTCCGGGTTCTAGTCCCGGTCAGGGTGCCAGTTCTGTCCCGGTTGCTCCTCTTCCAATCCAGCTCTCTGCTGTGGCCCAGTAAGGCAGTGGAGGATGGCCCAAGTGCTTGGGCCCTGCATCCACATGGGAGACCAGGAGGAAGCACCTGGTTCCTGGCTTTGGATCAGCACAGCACGCTGGCCGTAGCAGCCATCTGGGGGGTAAACCAACAGAAGGAAGACCTCTCTTTCTCTCTCTCTCTCTCTCTCTCTCTCTCTCACTGTCTAACTCTGCCTGTCAAAAAAAATGTCTTTGCTTTGCTGACCTAGCCTCAAAAAACACACAACCATCACTATCATGGTATCCTATTAATCACACCGGCCAATCCTGATACAGTGTGGAAGGCTCCACCAAAGAGAGGAACCAAGGACCATTGGACACCATCCTGAAACTGGCTACCATGGCAGAGAGACTGTGATGTTGAAGAGAATGGTCTTGGAACCAAGTGGACTTGAGTTCAAATCTTAGATCTCTGATTTATTCCCTGTGTGACCTTCTTATTCTGTAAAGTGGGAACAAAACTTGGAGCAAAATGCAGCAAAATGACTCATGTTAGCATCCTGCAAAATTGTGAGAAGTTAGCAAGGTGATATACAAAGAGTGCTAAGTCCAACTTTGGATGCAGAGTCCATTTTTGGTTAATGAATCTTTGTTCACTGGTACAATGGACAAGCTGGTAAATGGAAGGCACTTCTGGAAGCATAAACCAGTCCTGTGGTAGGTTGAACAATGCTGCTCAATGGTATTAATGCCCTACTTCCTGGAACCTGTAAATAGAGTAACTTATATGGCAAAAGAGACTCTGCAGTTGTAAACCAAGAATTCTGAGATGAAGAGACTGTGCTAGATTATCCAGATGAGCCCAGAGCTGTAATCACAAGAATCCTTACATGAGACCCACAGTAGCAATAGGAGTGACATAGAGGGGAAATGCAATGTGAAGGCGGAAGTGGAGGTTGGAGTGATGGAGCCTGGAGCCTGAAGCCAAGAAACCAAAATGTGCTGACAGCTGGCAGCTGGAAGTGACGAGGAACAAACTCTTCCCTGCAGCCCCCAGAAGGACCTAGTCCTGCACACACCTTGATTTTAGCACCCGTAAGGCTCACTTCCTACTTCTGACTCTCAGAACGGTAACAGAATGGTTTTATGCTGCCTTCATCCACTGAGTCTGTGATGTGAATGGAAGGGGGAGGGAGAGGGAAAGGGGAGGGTTGCGGGTGGGAGGGAAGTTATGGGGGGGAGGAAGCCATTGTAATCCATAAGCTGTACTTTGGAAATTTATATTAATTAAATAAAAGTTAAAAAAAATGTGCCACAGCAGTGATAGGAAATGAATACAATCCTTTGAGGGTACCTAACTGACACCTGGCACCTAGGGAGGCAGACAGATGCAGAGAGAGGATAAAGGAGGAGAGGGAGTGGGTGTGTATTACTGCCTTGGGGGAAACCCCTCACCCCCTGCAGACAGAGTGGCAGCCTTAATTGCTACAAGTGGCAGAGCTAGCTGAGTGAAAGGAGTGAGTCCAGACCCTGAACATGAGTGAGAATAGAAAGAAAAGCCTAACAGAGTGGTTTGAAGTTGACAGGCCAGGCTTCAGTGTCTCTGGTTTGTCCAGAAGTAAAATTGTGCTGGCTGGTTGCTGACAACATCAGTGGGCCTGGTCCAAGATGAGCCATCTGCTCACTTCTTTCTTGCTCAGAAAAAGGCCAGTGAAGGGGGCTCAGAAAAGCCATCTCCTGAACCCTTGGGAGAGCTGGAGGGAGCGGAAAGCGGAAGCTTCACTTACTCATCCTTCTTCTCCTGCTGAGCCTGCGTCATTTGCAACGCCTTACTTGATTCATGGCTCTGAAGGCTGGAAAGTCCAAGGGCATGGCTCCAGCATCTGCTCAGCATCTGGTGAAGACCTTCTTGCTGAAGTGCCATGGCGCCTGCACCTGTTGGCGAGGGGCACCGTGGCGAGACAGAAGGTGCTCTAGCACAGGTCTCTCCTTCCTCATCTTATAAGGCTGTGAATGCCACCGTAGGGAGCCCACTCTCATTACCTCATTCAATCCTGTTCACCTTGCAGGGGTCCAACTCCAAATGCTCCTAACATATGAATGTGGGGATGACGTTTCCAACACATGAGCTTTTGGGAGACACATTCAATCCATAACAAGGTTCTGGAGAGGGGACTTGCCTCCGACAGCTTGTAAAGAAAAACAGCCCAGGATTGGGAAGCAGAAAAAGTTCTTCTGCCCCCAAGCTCTGCCACTTGCAGCTTAGTGCCACCGAGGAAGTCAGTGTCACCTCTCCAGGCATCAGTTTCCCTGGTGCCCAATGAGATCGCTATGAGTATTACAGGTGAAGGCATGTGACATATTCTACACCACAAGCATACAGTAAGCAATTAATACATACCACCTGTTATAGTGGTGACCAATTTCGTTTATAAACCATTTATTAAATGCTTATAGGTACAAGTACAAGGCATTGTGGTTGCTAGATAAAGAAGACATCATCTTAGCTCTTAATGAGTTGATGGTCTAGTAGGGAACTCAAGACAGCTCCTGTGAGGCCCTAGAATGTGGAATATAGGACAAGTTGGAGAATCTGGAGAATTCTGGAACTCTCTGATAGGTCAACCAAAGGCTACTATTGGAGCAAAGCAGACGTCACCCACATGGTCACTTTGACAATAGGATCCCAGACAAAAGAAGGCAGTTAAAGAACGTCTGGGCCTTCCTTCCTCAAACAACAGTGTCCTGAGCATGACTCTTCTTGGTTGATGTTAAGATTGTTCCTAAATCTGTGTATATAAAATATATGAAACTTGTATAACTTAAATTTAAAAAAGAATTAATACATGTATACAGTAAACAAAAAGTCCAAACTGTACAAAACTTGTATAATGAAAAAAATGTATTCATATTACAATGGCTTCATTGAAATCAGTTACATATTATTACAAACAACCCAAGCTTTGGAATGAGTTTTTTATTTCATCCTTCACCGGCAACTTACTCTCTGAGCATGGGTGTGTATCTTAAATTCAGTAACTACCAGCAGATCATCGACAAAATGGGAATAATTACCCTTATTTCAAAGTTGCTGGGAAGGTAAGAGCTATGTGTAGTATGCCTAGAATGCAATAGGCTCTCAGGAAAAGAGCTGTTGCTGTGGCTGTTGGCCAGGCCATGCCTAGTGGGAGAAGCCTATTACACCAGATGGGAATGGTTGACCCTGAAGAATCTCGCTGTTCTTCCATGACCTTTGCCACTCCGCTGATGGACACTGCTCAGGAGTGAGGGCTGAGCTCTTGCTTGGTGCCAGACACAGCTGATGGGATAAGTAGGGAAGATGCAATGACTGAGCTAGTGGCGGGGTACAAGCCGGAACACCCATAGGACCCTCTGCTTCCTGGACAGCCACCACCAGGCAGCCTCCCCAGTAGACTGTTCTGGGTCAGTGCAGAGCCACCTCCACCTCCGCAGGCCACGCCAACTGCTAAGAACTGGAAGATCTCACTGGCCCAGAATCCCGTCCTCCCTGCTGAAACCAGGCTCTGAGTGAGACAAGAAGGCAGACGTGGCCTATCGGTAAACAAAGCCCATGTGGTCTCCCCCAATAGCCATCGCCTGTCGGTAAACAAAGCCCATGTGGTCTCCCCCAATAGCCATCGCCTGTCGGTAAACAAAGCCCATGTGGTCTCCCCCAATAGCCATCACAACAGAAGCTTGTATCTCCACTCATCCTGTGCCAGAGGCTAGGCTGACAATCTTCTCAAGGAGGTGTATGACCATTCTACCCATTTTCTGGATGAATAAACCAAGATGTAGAGAAATTAAGTAACTTGTTACAGGCTACCCAGGAGGTGAGCAGAGAATGAGGACTGCAATCCAGGCATCTGAGTGTGAAGCCCTGCTTCCCTTCACCAGGGCACTCAGGAACACTGCCCCAGGGACCCACAGGACAAGGAATTTGCCCTTGTCCATGACCAAGAGGAGCCTGCAGTGCTGAGAGAGGCAGCAGATACCCAAGTGGTAATCTGGGGATTCAAAGAGGCTTGCTGCCTGGGAAGATCCAACCAGACTGCACTTGCCCTGTGGGTGCCTGGCCCCTCCTTTCTCCCTCAGCGCCCTCTCCACTGCTCCAAGACCTTGGTGGTGATGGTGGGGGGAGGGGGGTTGGCCCCTGCATCGCTAATGGAGAGAAAGCTGCTGCAGCCAAGGCCTCCCCAGGATCTCCAGGCCAGCCCTAGGGGAGAGGCTTCTTGGCTGAGGACGCTGAAGAGTTTCAAGCCCTGCAGAAGCCCCTCCCAGGCAGGGAATTAAACAAAGGACAGAGAGGGAGGAGGGCCCATCTGAGAGCTGAGCTTTCCCCCACCAAGCACGGAGCCAGCCTTACACGTCCTGAGCACTGCAGCCCAACAAGTTGTAACTCACCCGGAGTTCTTGCCCCCAGCTGCAGCACTAATTACAAGGGAGAAGTTGAAAGGGAGTTTTCCAACTTTTGGTGACAGTGCGGTTTTCTCTTTCACCCTCCTTTCTCTTCTCCTCCCCCGTTCTCCCTTCCTTCTTCCCTCTCCTCCTCTTCCTCTTCTTTGGGTTCCTGCAACACGCTCCCACACCCTGAGCAAGAATCACATGCTGCAAGCACCTTCCAGAGGTCATGGTGTAGAATCTCTGCCTTCAAGCACCAAACCATCGCTCAGCCATCAGCATCCTTGAGAGCTGATGATCCAGGGAGTAGGTTTCTCCCTTTCACAATGGTCTTCAAAAGCAATGGTTATTTCTCACAGTTCAAAGAATGCACCCTCATGCAGAATGTGCGGAATGTGCAGTAAACCTTTGACATTCCAAAGGATCATATCTCAAGATCTTCATGAGCCCCCAAATTTAAGAAAATGTAACTATCAGGGACATCACCTAAGGTCTTTACAAAGGGCTCCTTAACTCTAAGTCTAATCTACATCAGCACAGACTGAAGCAAGGGATGACCTAGCTGGAGGCTGGGGGACAGATCAGGCACCACCCACTTTACAGATGAAGAAACTGAGGCCAAAGGGATGCATCGCTCAGCTAGATGGGAAATTAAGGTGTGGCAGAGAGTAGGAAACTGCCTTGGGATGAGCTGAGAACTGGCTGGTACCTGGCTCGGCCAGTTAGTAGGAGACACGGGGAAGCCAGCAGAAGCTCTGCCTCCCCACCCCCGCAGCCACCTCTTGCACTAACAGATTAAGTCCTCCAGCTTGACTAAGCCCAGGTTTACCAGAATCCAGAGCCGGGCCCATTTTGTAGGGAATGAGACACTGGTGGGGCTGAGCAGCCTCCCCCAGCCCAGGTGGTTCCTCTCTGAGGTAGACTGTGTGCATGAGAGCTGAGACCACACATCCCCAGAGAAGGCAGCCACGAAGGAGAGGAGCAGCTGCTGGCCCTACATGCTGCAGGAACAGTTGGTTCCAGAGTTCATGTCCTACCATGCAAACAGGGAGAACTTGCCAGTGCTGCAACTTCTAACCAGCCTGCTTCCTCACGCCCGTCCCACACTCCACACTACTGAATCCTGGTCCTCTGACAACTAGCATCAAGCAACGACAAATTTGCCTTGCACAGGAAGAAAAAGACACCCCAACTGGCAGTTGAGCTTATACCACTCTTCCTTGGCAGCTAAAGAGCTCTGGGCAATCTCTTGGAGTTTGTTGCAACCTGTGTTACTGCCTATGCTCCTTTCCCTGGGATTTAGCTTGGGGCTAAAGCCTTCACTTGCCACTCCCTTTGCACAACCCAGAGCCAGCTGTGTGGAGTCTTCATTCCTAGACCTGCAAAGGACCGACACAACCGTGGCCAGATTTCTCTGAGCCCTAGCCCCAGAGTCTTTGCTCTCTGCAGCTGCAAGGTCCTAGCTGGATGCCCCTCTATCTTGCGCTGGAACCTCTAAGGTTTGATTTCTTTTTCCCTAACCATGCCTAAGCTCCTCCAGCTTCTGCTTCATAGTTTATCTCCTCAATGGCTCATCAGAGGGAAGGAAGAGGAATGTGAAGAGAGCTGTCCTAAATAATAATAGAAAAAAAGAGGGAACTATCTGCATACTACTCTAAGAACTCCACTACTGAGTTTGTGGACTTCCATTGCCTCTGAAGCTCGTGAGATCCTCGGGTGATCACTAACATCATAAATAAGAGTGTCAGTTGTTAAATCAACAACAGGAGTCACTGTGCACTTGCTCCCCATGTAAGACTTCTGTCCTTAATGAGTTGTACTATGAGAATTAACAGTAAAACCAATCTTCAAACAGTACTTTATACTTTGTGTGTCTGTGTGGGTACAAACTGCTGAAATCTTTACTTAGTAGAGAGTTGATCTTCTGTATATAAAGATAATTAAAATGAGTCTTAATGAAGAATGGGATGGGAGAGGGAGTAAGAAGTGGGACAGGAGTGGGGGTGGGAGGGCAGGTATGGGCTGAAGAACCACTATATTCCAAAAGCTGTACCTATGAAATTTATATTTATTAAATAAAAGCTTTCTTAAATATAAATAAAAATAAATTAAAAAAAAAACTCTGCTAGCATCGTTCTTCCAAATGACCTAGAGGGAAATTTAATGAAGAACATCAATGGGTCAAGTTTGGGGGATGGGGGTGGGAAGACTTTTGAATTCTCCAAGGATCTTCAAAGACTTGAGAAATGTTTGGAAATAGAAAATTAATAATTGTGGAATCATTTGCAAAAAGTAAGAGTGCTAAAATGAACTCTGCCCAAGATGCTGTGGCCTCTGAAAATCACAGTTTACATGCACAACCTCCCTACTGGCTCCGGTACCCAGCTGCTCACACGAAAATGCACATGTGCACCACCTGCACACAAACCGGAAGGCGCCAGGGACCGTGCCCACCCCCTGGGAAGTTGCCAGAATCAACAAACAAAAATACAGGCCACCCAGTTAAATTTGAATTTCAGACAAACAGCAAATAGCTTCTAATAGGTCTCAAGTCTTGCATGGGACACATTTATACTAAAATTTATTTGTTGTTTATCTGAAATACGAACTTAAGAGAATATCTTAGATTTTATCTGGCTTCCCCAGCCCTACGGCGTCTGCCTCTCAGTCCCTCGCAGAAGGACTCCTGCATAGGTGCACGTAGACACTCTGCCAGGAGCACGAACTTTAATCCACTGTGAATTCCTCCTGCTTTCATACCACCATCTGAAACTTACCCGGGACTGAGGACGTAGGGAGTAGCAGGCTTTTTCCAAGCCCTCCATCCTCTGTCGTACTTGTGATCTCATTCAGGAATGTAGCTGTTGACTCAAAGGATAGGGGCGTAGAGGTGCTCAAATTCACTGAATGTCAAGACCTTTGGCATGCTAGAAGGTGATTATCTCACCCATTCTAGACTCTCCTTCCACTGAAGTCCTGGGAGAGGAAGTTTGGGTTAAGAAAAGCCTGAACGTATTGGCTCATGGAAGAACTTTAATTCTCAAGTGCTAGAATAATTAAAGAAGTTGCTTAGATTACTCTTTCTGGTTTCTTTAAAAAAAGATTTATTTATTTATTTGAAAGGCAGAGTTACAGAGAGGCAGAGGCAGAGACAGGCAGAGAGATCTTCCATCCACTGTTTCACTCCCCATATGGTTGCAATGGTCGGAGCTGGGCTGATCCAAAGCCAGGAGCCAGGAGCTTCTTCCGGGTCTCCCATGCAGGTACAGGGGCCCAAGGACTTGGGCCATTTTCTACTGCCTTCTCAGGCCATAGCAGAGAGCTGGATCAGAAGTGGAGCAGCTGGGTCTCAAACCAGCACCCATATGGGATGCTGACACTGCAGACAGCAGCTTTACCCGCTATGCCACAGCACCAGCCCTCCTTCTGGTTTCTAAGGTAATATCCCAAAGATGTCCAGGTTAGTGGGTGCTGTCTTGGCAGATCTGTTCATAAAAGTGAAGAAGGTTGCTTTGGACCTGTTACGAATGGCTCCCAATCCCATGCTCCAAAGAGACTAAACTTGCTCGTGGAGACAGTGTCCCAGGATATCTTTCAGTCCCTTCCATGCACACAGGCTGGAGTAGGGGCAGCCTTCACGTTGATGGTCTCTCTTTCCTAGTAGAGGAGAGAAAATATCCCCAAGATCCTGATAGGGCTCCTTGAAACATCTCCCTTGGGGCTTTGCCCTTGCCAGGCACGTGTGAACAAGACTCCCTCATGTTTCTGACTCACTCTGAAATGAGTTCTGCCCAAGAGCTTGGGTCTGAAGCTGGCAGCTTGGCAGAGAGCCCAGCAGTGGGGGAAGGAGACATCCTCTCCAGGTTTCCAAATCTGCGTTGCCTCATCATATACTGCTGGCCAGCCTTCCTCTGAGCCTCCATCTCCAGGCTGAAACTGTGGGGTCACTTAAACCAGACAGGTATTGTCAGGAGAGCCGAAGCGGTGATCTCTATGAATGTATGATGGGTTTTTTTTTTTTTTGGAAGATTTATTTATGTACTTGAGAGTCAGAGTTGCAGACAGAGAGAGGGAGCAACAGATACAGAGAGGTCTTCCATCTGGTGGTTCACTCCCCAAATGGCCACAACAGCTGGAGCTGGGTTGATCCAAAGCCAGGAGCCAGGAACTTCTTTCAGGTCTCTCACATGGTTGCAGGACTCCAAGCACTTGGGCCATCTTCCACTGCTTTCCCAGGCCATCAGCTGGGAGCTGGATCAGAAGAGGAGCAGCTGGGACTCAAACCAGTGTCCATATGGGAAGCAGGCACCGCAGGCAGATGCTTAACCTACTACACCACAGCACCAGCCCCTATATGAAGGGTTCTTAAAAGAATGGGGTACAAACTCAAAATATCAGTCATCTTGCAAGAGTAATATATGGTTGGAAGCTTTTAAAACAAAAATTACTTACCAAAGAGCCTTCCCTTGAGAAACTCAGAGTGTGTGGGATGCAGGAAAGAAGCTCTCTGGTTTCCTAGAACTCAGTCAATTTAGAGAGAAACCAGGTCAAGCTACAGGCTCCCAGAGGACAAGGCAAGAGCAATGGGAAGAAAAGTTCAACCTCCAGCAAGAGGAGAGACGTTTGATGCCGCTGGTGCTCGCGAAGAGTGAGAGACGTCTAGCATGAAAGCTGGAGAGTGAATTCTTGTCGTGCAGCTTCTTGCAGAGCTGACGTTCCACAAAGACACACAGTCCCAACACTCTGCAAGGTGGGAAAAAAAGGGGCTGTGCATGACAGCCAAACACCTCTCAAAGTCAGAAAATCCATGATGATGTTCCAGTAAAGGCTCTTCTGGCTTCAAAGGAAAGAGCCTCTCTCCAGCTTGTTCAAGGGAAGACAGAGACTGTTGAAAGGGTACCAGCAGGGTATGTGGACTCACAGTGCAGGTGTCACAAGACCCTGGAACAGGAAAGGCAAAGCCTTTTGGATCCATAATCATTCTCCCTTGTCTCAGCTGAGTTCCATCTTCCTTACCTGCTTCTGAATATTTGTTCTCATTGCCCTTGTCTCAGTATCTCAGCCTCCTAATACTTCTCAGTGTTACCACCAACCAATCCTTCCCTCTGTGCCTTTCATTCACGTTTGTGAGAGAGAGAGCCTGCATGGCCCAGCCTCCAGCATGGCTGTCCTACCCTGAACCAGTCTCAGTGATGGAACAGGGAGAATACAAACCATGGCCCCACCACCCGAGAACAGGGGCAGAACAGGCAGGCACCATTGCGCCTGTCACAAAGAGCAAAGAGGAATACACCAAAGGGGGAACCCAAGGTCATCTTTAAAAGAGTGAACACTCTCCACTACCCACAATGAACATGAGAGTTGGGACTTCAGATTAGAAGCTCATATCACAATATGCTGAGAACTGTCACGCATTAGCCTGTTTCATAGACCCACAAGCCCTGCACAGAAGGCTAAATGTCCGCATTGCAGATAAGAGAAAACAAAACAAAAAACAGGTCAAAACAGTAACCCGCCAAGGTCACTCAGCTAACTGGTGGAGGCACTCGGGCCCCACTCTGATCTGTGTGATGCCTAAGCAGTGTGTTCCCAGATGGAGTCAGCAATGCTTTCCTCTGCAAAGGAAGCCAAGTGGAATGCGAGCTAGAAAAGGCCATCTACTCTCCAAATCACCCTAAGTGAGGAAGAAGGGGAAGGGAGAGGAAGACCGGAGGAAGAAAACGGACTCTTTTTTCCCTGAATAACAGGAAAGATGCATGCTAGAGATGTGGAAGACATGAGGTCTGTCTGAGGAAGCTCGGGGGAAGGCACAGGCAGCAGTGAAAAATGAAATGCAAGGCCCTAGAGAAGTACTCACTTTAAAGGAACAATTTTGCTGTTGTTCTTTGTTCTTGTACCAAATGTACCTATAAAAAAAAAAATCCCTGCCGTTGCTGTAGCAACAGAGAGAACCAGATCCCCGGAAGGCCTTTGCCAGGTCAAGAGCCTTGTCATTCATCCCAGCCCCCACCATTTCTATTATCAAGGTGAAGGGCAGAGGCCTGCCCAGACACACACTCGAAATACACAGCAGAAACCCAGACTTCGCTTGGACTGGAAGGAAGAGAAAGTCAGACAGGGCAGCAGGTAGACACTAGCAGCTCTGTCCAGTTACACCTGACGACAGGGACAGAGGCAGAGGCCAAAATCAATGCCCGAAGTGGATCCACAAGGAAAGTAAGAGGAAGCGGAACAAAGAAAAATGCTGAAAGTTAAAACAGGCGTGTGTGAACACACACACACACACACACACACACATAAATAGAGCAAAGAGAGAAGGGCAAGTGGCCTTTTTTGTTCCCGTGAGAGATATCTGGACTTTGCAGCGAGATCCTGTCTTGGGTCTTTTCCTCGTGTTTGAGCTGCATTGAATGGGCAGTTGCCTGGCATGAAGGTGTTGTGAGTCAGCCGCAGATTGGAGCTCAGTCCCTCTGTCCCTCTGCTCTGCTCTCTGCCAGACCACACAGCCTCCTGCCCTGTTCTGCCAAGCCCAGCTTAGCTCATTGTCCAGGTAACACACTTCAAAGGCACCAGGGTGAGATGGGGCGGGCTGGGCCAGCCTCAGGGTGGGAGTATATCCCAAAAGGCTCAGGCCCAAACACTCCTCATCAATCTTCTGAAGTATCTTCCCTCCCTCTCACTTCCCTGACACTTTGAATAACCCTGGGATGTTAAAACTGGAAAACCCAATTTCTCACTGGGGCTGTCAGCTTCTTTTGCACTATGAGTCTGTGTGGCTTTATTATCGTGGGGTTGACCAGATGTCAGCCAATGTTGCGGCACAGTCCTGCAATAACAGAATTGTGTGATCTTCTCTGGAGTTGGCTGTACACTCTAGGATTGTCAGATGATGGGTGCCTAACTGGTCAGAAAATACAGGGCATCTGTCAAGGTGTGTGTGTGTTGTAGAAATGTCCCCGGGTGTGGGTCTTCCAGCCCCCAAGTTGGTTGCTTGTATCTGTCTTAGGACACAACCTTTGTGCTGCTTTATACTAAATAGATAGATCTGATCCCTCACAGAAAACTGTGACGATCTCTGCAATAAGGAGACATACTTCCATTTGTGTACCCGATAGCACAAAGTGTAGCTAATCCCCTAACACCCTCGTTCAGTGAATGCATTTGCTGCTGGCCTCCCCCGAAACTCTGCAGAACTTGACAATCATGAAAATATAACATGTCCTCCTCTTTTAAATCCTTTCTTGATGGGGTGCAAGCATGAGATCCAGCACTGGGCCCAAGACTCAGAACCTAAGATTAATGTATCATCTGTGTGTAATCTTGGACATGTTGTTTATCCTCTACAGTAATGTTGTCCAATAGAACTTCCTGTTTTATGCAAATGTTCCATATTTGCATTGTCAAATACAGAAGTCACCTCTAGCTATGGAGCTCAAGTTTTGATTTTGTTTCATTTTATTATCTAAATTTTGATAGTCACAAGTGTTAGGTCTGTATTAGCACAAACCTAAGAAATCTCATTTTCCAAAGGAAATCAGAATAAGAAGACCTTTTACCTCTTAGTTTGAGAGGAAGATTAAATGAGACAATTCCTGAGGCTGGCACGGTTGTGCAGTGGGTTAAGCTGCTGCTTGCGATGTCACCATCCTATATTGGAGTGCTGGTTTAAATTCCGTCTACTCCACTTCCAGTCCAGCTTCTTGCTAATGCGCCTGGGAAAGTTGCAGATGGCTCAAGTGCTTGGGCCTTTGCCACCTATGTGGGATAACAGGATGGAATTCTGGGCTCCTGGTTTCAGCCTGGCCCAGCCCTGGCTGATGCAGCCCTTTGGGAAGTGAATCAGGGTCTTCCTGTCTCTCTCTCTCTCTCTCTCTCTCTCTCTCTCTCTCTCTCTTCTCTCTCTCTATCTCTATCTCTATCTCTCACTCACTCACTCAATCAATCATTTGCTCTGACTCAACGCTTTCATTTCTTTCTTTTGCACACACACACATGACACACACAACAACTCCAGATTCTTCAAAAACCCCACAGGATGTGAACATGAATCTTAGAGTCCTACTCTGAAGGCTCAGGGGTTAGAGACTTCATACAGAGTGCACAAGAGATGACACAGGAAGCTGCACACCCAGCAGGTGAGTGACTTGTGCACAGCATTCTCTTCCGATACCACCAAGCCTCCTGCCCAGGGCGCTGTCCCCTCTGCAGACTCTCTCCAGGCACCCTCTGTCTTTCCTCTATCCTTCAGTACTTTGGTCTCCTTCTTTCTCTTTTTTTCCTTAACCAGGTAATTTTGCACCTAAGAATATCCTTTCAGCATTTGTTGTTCTTATTGAATATAAGCCCAAGTGTGATGAAAAATCTCTTTCCCATCCAGTTCTAGATGTAATCTTAAGGAAACTTAAAACTACAGTAATGAAGCAAGATTTGACATCCCAAGCATCCACAAAATTCTAATGGAAGGGGCAGGCTTTGGGCCTAATGCTTAAGTCACCAATTAAGATGCCAACATCCCACATCAGAGTACCTTGCTTCAAGTCTCAACTCTAGGCACTGAATCCAGCCTCCTGCTACTGTAGACCCTGGGAGGCTGTGGTGATGGCTCAAGTACTTGGGTCCCAGCCAGCCACATGCCTGGATTAAGGTCCCAACTCTCAGTCTCATAAAACCAAGTGTTGGGCATTGCGTTGTTGGGAAAGGAACAAGTGTATGAAGATCTCTCTCTCCCTCTCTCTCTCCCTCTCTCTCTTCCTCCCACCCACCCACCTGCCCTCAGGTACAGAGGTAAATAAAATGCAAATGGAATTATTTGTGTGTGGTTCTCAATTCCTTTTCCTAAACACTGAACTGCTGGAGACACATATGTCTCCCCTCACTCTCACCTGCCCTGTGCTGTGTTCCCTGGGTTCTAGTCTTATACCTAGTTCAGCTCTACAAGCTTCTGCAGAGCAAGAACTAGGTCTGATCTTACATACAGTCTCTGGCCTGGAACAAAATCACCTTCTCTCAACTGTTGAAATAAATGGAGGTGATACGAGTGTGTCTTTTCCCTTCTCAAGAACCTCTAGAATCCTTACCAAATCTTAGCCTGGACAGCTCCCCCACTAGACAGCAAGGCTGAGAGCATAGAGCTCCTGAACATGCCCCACACTTCCCAGGAGCAGGTGTAGAAGAAGGGCTTGGACATGTGTGGTCACTGGGTCCCCACCAGTCACCTCTCTGCCATGCTCAGTGACCAGCCCTGGGCCTGGGACACCCCTTGTTCTTGGGAGGAGAGCCCCACATCTGCCTCCTGCCACCTGAGCTCACTATGCTGTTGCCTGACCAGTGAAAGAATGTTGGGGAAGGTAGGGATGTCAGTTCCCTGCCTCCTGCTTCCAAACCACCTCTCTTCTGTCGCACCCTGCACTCCAGCCACACAGATGGCAGAGGGAGGGGGAAGCCATCAAGGAGCAGTTCTTATCAGATTTCCAGGCCTCCACCTGCCCTCACTGACCTCCCCAGGGCCACCCTGAGTCACTGTTGAAGAAGTTCAAAATGTAACTGCATGCTTTTCTGGTGCCCAGGTTAAACCCTTCTAGGCAGTTCCAGGAGTCTGCCATCCCACTTTGTCCATCCCAGCAGATCCAGGTGTTCATTTCTCACAGACCCCACCCTCTGTACCTTGACATGATGACTAGGTCTTCACTTCCCTCATTATGACGAAATCCAACACATTTCATCCCCTCCTGCTCCCCTGCAGCACCTCTCTGCCTATCTGGAAAACTCGGAAGAGGAGGTGGTTGCCTGCCTACCCAGACTCTGAGCTCCTCCACCCACACCAAAAACTGTCTATTCCAGCTCTCTCCCTAGGTCCACCCTCTGCCTTCTCCTAGGGCCATTGGAGTCAGCATTCCCCAGAGAAATGGAGCCATCAGGATAGACACACACATACTTACTCAGGAAGATAAGAGATTTACAATGGCAGTTGGCTCACACAATTATTCAAAGCAGGAAATCCAGAAGTATAATTTAGTCCGAGGCCAAGGGCCTGAGAACTGCACAAGCTGGGGGAGAGTGGACAGCATTAACATCATCCCCAGACTTCAAAAGCCCAAGAACCAGGAATTCCAATACCCAAAGGCAGGACAAGACAGACGGCCCAGCTCAGACACAGACAGAGCAAAGCCATTTCAGCCACTCTTCTGCTCCATCTTCTTCTATCTGGGCCCCCAATGCATTGGACAATGGTAAGGGCAGATCCTCTTTAGTCAGTTCACTGCATCAAATTCTCATGTCTTCCAGGTACACCCTCCAGATACACCCATAAATAATGTGTAACCAGCTCTCTGGGCATCCCTTAACCCAGGAAATTTGACGAAAATTAGTCAACCCAACCAGTAATCCAGTCTGCCCACCTCTCTTCTCTCTGCCAAGGACAATCTCTTGGATGAACTGGTCTGTACTGATGATTCTGTGTGGTGACTTGTGTGACTTCTACCCTCAGCAGTCCACTGCACTCCCTCTGAATCAGAGCCTCAGTGACTGTTCTTCACCAGTCTGGCTGCTCCAGGCTGCTCCAGGCTGGCTGGCAGATTAGCATGGTGGTTAAGTGTGGAGACTATCAACTCAAACAGCTTAAGCACAGAGCCCAACTCCTCTTAGTAGTCATGTGATCTTGGGCTAGTTTTCCAAAGCGGTCAATGCCTCAGTTTCCTCAATCATAAAGTGAAGCTAAAAGTATACTTCCCTTGTAAGACTACAGAGATAATTCAGTGAAATGATGCATGTCAAGTGCCCAACATATAATACATCTTCAACAAAAGTAGACCCACTGAGGCAGACTTTTGACCTAGTGATTAAGGTACTGGTTAAAAGGTTCACAACCCATATCAGAGTGCCTGGGTTCAAGTCCCAGCTCCAACTCATGACTCTAGCTCCCTGCTAATGTAGACCCCAGAAGGCAGCAGTAGTAACTCAAGTGATTGGGTTCCCGCCACTCCCATGGAAGACCTGGATTGAGTTCCTGGCTCTCAGCTTTTACCCAGCCTAATCCTGGATGCTGCAGGCACCTGGGGTGTGAACAAGCAGGTGGGAACACTCTCTCCCTCCTTACCGCTCTTTCAAATAATAGTTTTCTTCTTTCTTTGTAAGTGTCCCTAGCTTCAAAAAGCAGAGACTCAGACTGCCTTTGCTTTGTTCCCCTGGATATCCCCTCCTTCTCCTTTCTAGCAGTGGTTTACACTGCCCAGGTCAGTTCAGATCCAGGTGCCCTTCTCTGCATGTTCCCTCTGGCTGCACCAGTTAATATTGCCAGGCTTTGGGGACTGATCCCAGATCTGTACCACCAACCCTGCCACCTCGTCTGTGCTCAGCTGCTTTACCTGGATGGTCCCTCTCCACCTCCTTTTCTCTACCTTTCTCTTTGCACCTCCTACCCCATCCTCTCAGATCTCAAACTCTGGAAACTGCAATTTATTCACCCTCCACTGACCCATGTTCCCCAAATATTTTTATTGGTCTCCAAATTCTTCCTCCATAATATAAGGAGAAATCACCTATTACCCTACATATTACTCAGAAACTAAGTGAATTTTTAATACATAAAAAGAAATATGCTCCATGAACCTAACATTGTACCTGAAGCTAAAGAGTCATGTTTTCATTATATCTTACAACTTAGTCAATGAGGCTAGAAGGAGCAAGTAGAACTATATAGAAGTGTCAAGATGGCTTTGGAGTGATGGCTGTTAAACCTGAGGGATATTTTCACATCTTTTTGGAATTTACCATAGTGAAAAGCTTTTTTTAATCAAATTAGATAACCAGTCAAATCTTGGAAGGAAGGAAGGAAGGAAGGAAGGAAGGAAGGAAGGAAGGAAGGAAGGAAGGCTGAGGAAGGGTGAGCTGATACTCCCTTCCCAACCCCAAAGGTTAACAATAGACACAAAGTGAATTTCAACTGCCCCTTTATGCACCCCATGTGCCCTCATGTGTATCCCATTCTCCACCCAACCTGCACCCTTCCTGGTTTTTGCCAGACCTGTGCACAACTGTAACCTCGGTTCTTCAGCTGTGAGAAAATAGGTAGGTGGATGGATAGATACAGATGTACACATGCGATGCCAGCCAGTCAGGAATTAATAGGATCTTTTATAATTAATTGTATTGTTCTTTGCCACTTCTTTTTGGGGAGAGGTGGGGGGTTGGATCCAGAGACCACAACAGAGCTCTTTGGCATCTGACAGCTCACCTTTAGGTCTCTAGAATACAGAGCATCCTCTCGCCACATTTCACATTGCAATTTTTTCCAGAGTCCAAGTTGTATGGGGCCCCTGACACACTTTCAGACCAGGAACTATCTGATTCCAGTGATCGGCTCATTTGTGTCTTAACTGATGCCTTCTGAACATGGGACCCATTGCATCAGATGAAGAGGGTGTGCATCACACCTTTCTGGGGACCAAATAAATCCCTTTACCTGTCCAGCTTGGTGACTCCTCATTTAGAATCTGGCTCCTTTTTTTTTTTTTCTTTGACAGGCAGAGTGGACAGTGAGAGAGAGAGACAGAGAGAAAGGTCTTCCTTTTGCCGTTGGTTCACCCTCCAGTGGCCGCCGCGGCCAGCGCGCTGCGGCCGGCGCATCGCACTGATCCGAAGCCAGGAGCCAGGTGCTTCTCCTGGTCTCCCATGGGGTGCAGGGCCCAAGCACTTGGGCCATCCTCCACTGCCTTCCCTGGCCACAGCAGAGAGCTGGCCTGGAAGAGGGGCAACCGGGAAAGAATCCAGCGCCCTGACCGGGACTAGAACCCTGTGTGCCGGCGCCGCTAGGTGGAGGATTAGTCTATTGAGCCAGAATCTGGCTCTTAACCTTTAGAACCAACAATAGTCCTCACTGGTTTCCTCCCAGGCTCACAGAGTAAAGTATCATTTGCTTCAAACTCAGGCCTGACCAAGATCAAGCCTTAGGAGATGCTCAGGGTGGACGCCTGCCCTCTCCAGCACAGGCAACTCTGCCCGCAGCCACTGCCCCCTGCCGCCCTTTACCATCTGGTCGGGTGTCTAACTGACTGTGGAGAGCGGGTCAGTTAGCACAGAAGTAATAGCTATCAACAAAGGAAATGAAAATGTTTGGTTTCTTTTCTTTTGCCTTCAAAACTTTGGCAATCTAGAAAAGATAATAAGGGATTGAGGATACTATTGAGTCATCAAAAAAAGAAAAGGAAGAGCAGGAAAGAAAGAGACTTCATTTATCCCCAAGCAGTCACCAAATGCCTGCCAAATGCCTGTTGCTGTTCTAGGCAGCAGGCTACCCCACAGAGAACAGAGCAGCCCAACTGAAGGCATTTTCTTTCCAGGTTTAAATCGGGCCTGGAAAGACTACAGAAATAATGGTGTGGATCTGAAAAATCTGGTTATAAATGTACCATGTAAAGGTGGTTAAAGAAGGCATTGTGAATTATAATCATTCTAACAACCACTTGAGTGTATTATGGGTTGAACTGTGTCTCCCAAAATTCATGATGAAGTCCTAGCCCTGAGCACCTGAGAATGTGCCCTTGTTTTGAAAAGTGCTGCTGCAGATATACTTAGTTAAGATGAAGTCATAATGGAGTATAGTGGACCCTTAATCCAAGAGGACTGGTGTCCTTTTAGAAAAAAAAAAAAAGAAACTATTGCTTAATGGGTTAAGCTTCTGCCTTCAATGCCAGCAACCCAAATGGGCACCAGTTTGAATCCCAGCTGCACCACTTCTGATCCAGCTCTCTATTAATGCATCTGGGAAAGCAGTGGAAGATGGCCCAAGTGCTTGGGCCCTTGCACCCATGTGGGAGTCCCAGATGAAGCTCCTGGCTCCTAGCTTTGGATCAGCCCAGCTCCAGCCATTGCAGCCATTTGGGGAGTGAACCAACAGATGGATGATCTCTCTTTCTCTGTGTCTCCTTCTCTCTAACTCTTTCAAGTAAATAAATAAATTTTTAAAGGAGAGAGAATGTGTATAAAATGCTTTGCACAAAGTCTGGCATGAAGTAAATTTTTATATGTTATATATAATAAAAAGTATTATTAATGTTATGAAAGAGAGAGAGTGGCATTCAAAGTACATGGCCTAGGGAGCCCTGCCCTCCAAAATCAACCTGTTCCAGTTGGGTAAATATCTCCATCCACTCAGTCTTTCAATTCTTGCTGCAAACAGATGTTGGCATTTTTGGTTGGCTTGTGGTTAAGACACTTCCATTAACTGCCTGCTTGGTAGTCAAATTGGTGCATTTATTCCAATTCTACATCTATAAAATCAGAAAGAACTGGTAAGTCATGATGTTTGTGTTGTATAAAGCACTTCCTGCTTCCTCATTTACAAAGATATCAGAAGCCAACTCTCCTGGCCCCATGACAGCTCTGTGTGAAACCCCCAATATACCCAATCCCCCCCGTCCGCATACACATCATCCATAATAAAATAGACTGTTTATATGTCTTATGTTTACTTCATATGTGGTTTTAAAAATATTTAGTTATTTATTTGAAAGGTAGAATGACAGAAAGAAGGAGACATACATACATAGAGAGAGAAAAAGAGAGAGAAAGAGAGAGAGATCTTCCATCCACGGGTTTACTCCCCAAATGCCCAGAACAACCAGAGCTGGGCCAGGCCAAAGCCAAGAGACAGGAATTCCGTCCAGGTCTCCCATACTGGCAGAAACTCAAGTACTTGGGCTATCAACCGTTGTCTCCCAGGTGCATTTGCCAGAAGCTGGATCAGAAGCAAAGACAGAATTTGATCCCAGGCACCCTGGTATAGGATGCAGGCATCCCGAGCAGTGTGGCTGCACCCGTGCATCACAACACCCACTCAGATGTGTGTTTTTGTCCAAGTCTTGTCACTCGGCTGCATGCAGATTCCTTCCTCCCGCCTGGAAAGGAACTCTCAGAGGACAGTTCCTAAGTCTGTTTAAAAGCCCGTTAACAGCCCAATTAGATTGAAAGACTTTGCAGTCCTTCCAACAAATCAAGATTTGATTAGGACCTCTACAGGTAAGTTTCTTGAAGTTCTAGTCAACTCAGGGGTCTGTGAAACTGTGAACACAACTCTGTGTTCATGGTCAGGTGTCTGCATTTTTGGCATTCTTAAGGAGGTGACATATGTGACCCTGAGCTAGGCAAGCAATACTGAATACTACTCATGCACTCTTCAAGCAGAGAGCCATCCAGAATAAGAGGGGGGAAAGAGAGCAAATGACCAGAGCAGTGTTTTTTGTATTCTCTACAAGTTGTATTGCTCTGTGTGTGTGTGTGTGTGTGTGTGTGTGTGACTTTGCTAGTAGTCTCAGATATTAAATGTAGTTTAGGTTTAATCTTTAGATTTAGGAGATGTTTTCCGTTTTCAAAGGCATGGGATCAGGGAAACACTGCTTGCATTGTCATTTGCTAATGAGCTGAGGAGCAGAAGTGGGATTGATCCCGAGACAGTATATGAGGGCTGAGCGAAGGCTGGGTGCCATGGTGCCATAGGTCAGAAATGAAGGTTTTGCAGAGCCATCCTGTTTTGCAAAGGATTCAAGGTGTTTTCATAGAGCATTTTGATTCTGCTCCACTTTTGTATTTCAAAATAACTTTTAAACTACTATGTAAGACATGACTCCACTGGAGTTTTTTTCTTAAAAGTAGAGTAGGACAATTAAATCATTAAATGGAACATCAGACATGTATACGCCAAACTCGAAAACTGCACTGTAACAGTTAAACTACAATCACAGAAAAAGTAGTGATTTATTTTCCCCCAAACTTCAGCCAAAGATCAACCAAAACACTAAATTAATGTTTTATTTTTGCATCCCTAGATGTGCAGGTTTGGTTAAGTTATTTATATATTTGTTGGATTTTACAATGAGATAAGCATATGAAGCTTATACTTTAATATGTTTGTACTTATGCTGGTTGCATTATAATTAACATATTTTAACTGCAACGATAGAGATCTGTTATAGTTTATTTTTATTTTTAGGTCCATAAGTTATTCACATTTGAGACATACAGAATTGACCGTACTAGTATAGAAAAGGACAAAATACAAAACATCAATGTGGGGGCCAACATTGTGGCGCAGCAGGTAAAGCTGCTACCTGCAATGCCAGCATCCCATATGGGCACCAATTCAAATCCAGGCTGCTCTACTTCCAATCCAACTCTGTTAATGGCCTGGGAAAAGCATCAGACAATGGTCCAAGTGCTAGGACTCTTCCACCCATGTGGAAGACCCAGATGAATCTCCTGGCTCCTGGCTTCAGCCTGGCTCAGCCCTGGCAATTGTGGCCACTTGGAAAGTGAACCAATGGATGAGATCTCTCTCTCTCTCTCTCTCTCTCTCTCTCCCTCCCTCCCTCCCTTCTTTCTGTGTAACTCTGACTTGCAAATAGATAAACATATCATTTTTAAAAAATCAGAAAATATCAATGCAGACATTGCCAATAGTCAAAATGATACAGAGATATACCTTGGCATTTAGGATTTAGGAAGATGTCAAAATAATTAGAGGATGGTAAATGTTTTCCATCCAAAAAAATCATTTATTAAGTGCCTCTGTACCAAGAACTATACCCGGGCTCATAGCCAAGAGGTCGAAACAGAAGGAAAAGCAGAAACAAGAAAAAAGGTGAACAAGACCCTGTGCCTTCAGTATGTTATGCCCAGTGGGGAAGACAGGGCTACACCAGGTAATACTGATTAAGCACTACCAAGGTTTACATAAAGTGCCTAGGCAACCCTATGGTGCAGGCAGTATTATTCTCCTATTTGAGCTATGAATACACAAAGGACCCTGTGAGCACCAGCTAGGAGCCCTTAGGAAATCACACGAGGGAAGCAGCTAAACTTTGCAAACTAGATGTGATTCTAGCCGAGTCTTTAATAATGACTGGGAGCTTACCAGGCAACACGAGGGAAAAGGTGCTCCTGTCTGATGGAAGCTTGTGCCAAGGTGGAGGTGCCAGGGAAAAGCACTGTTTCTCTAAGGAATGGCACAAGGGTCTAGATTGGTCAGGCTGAGAACACAGCAGAGGCAGCTGCTTTGAAGAGGTTCAGGTCTATCTCGTCAGCCCCAGTCATGGATCCAACCATGTCTCTGAACCTTTCCATTCCGGTAGACAAAAGTGTTTTCTGGTGGTGTATAAACCAGGCTCACCTCCTCCAGCCAGGGTCACTACCAAACACAGCCATACAGACTGTGTGCTGCACAGCAAGAGCCCCAACTAAGTGATGCCACTCACACAGCCTGCACATTCATTTTCACAATGGGTAAGTCTGGTTTCTGTCGCTCTGAGAGGGGGAAAGAGAAAGAGGAGAGAGAAAGGGAGACACAGAGAGAGAGAGAGAGAGAGAGAGAGCTTATCAGATGCAAAACACCTGATACTGGGTACTACATGGAAAAAGATTTATTTGTCTCATGATTTGGGTGACTAGAAAGTCCAAATAGCATAGCTCTGGCATCTATGAGGGCTCTCCAACTGCACTGCAACCTAGTGGAGAAGTAGAAAGGGAGTAGTTGCGCACAAAAGGGAACAAGCAAAAAGGTGACCTCATTCCGTAAACACTCCTTCTCAGGTAACGAATTCAGTGTCACAAGGGGGAAACTAACCCCTGAGACCTAACTCACTCCTAGGCAAAAACCATGAATCCTTCCTAAAGATGCAAGTATGTCCCATAAGACACTCACCACCTCAATGGCATTTACAGACGGGATCAAGTTCCCAGCACATGGACCTGTGGGTGACAACTACCGCAGGCCATCCCTGGGCAGTGAAGTGTCTTGTCCTAACAAAATCTGTGTTTTACAGGTGCCTTCTGTTGAACCATAGAAAACTACCTAGCAGAAGGACATCTGCAAGGTATTCCACACAAAGGTGCTCCCATGCAACAGTGGTGGCAACTTTGTTCTTCCCACTTCTCCATGCTTAACTGTGATGAAACATCAAGGCCAACCACACACTGTGCATTTTATTTGGCCTTGTGAGGGCTCAAATGCATCAGATTAAACCTGCCTCCAAGCCCATGTAACACTCTTCTGTCTCTTCTTATTCCATGTGATTTTGTCTTCCCTACCCACTCCACGCCAACACCTCCTGGATCTGGACTTACTAACTGCTGTCTTCTAAGTCACAACAGATCATTTTCCCTAGTTAATGTCGTTTTCCAAAATTCATGCACTGCTTCCAAGCTGCCCAGGGCAGGAACATGCCAGATCCCATGATTAAGAAGACAAAAGGTCTCCAGCCAGAAACCATATTTATGGAGCCCTCTCTGTCCACCCCCCGCCCCATCTGTCTGGAATTGCTCCAAAAGCCTCCTAAACATCAATCCATAAAACGATTAACTTATGTACTGCCCACATGGGGCACAAATCACTCTGACTCACAGCTGGCTCTTGATGCTGTAACAGCCAGCCTTGGGGTCAACATAGCCCCTAGTTAACTTGCCAGTACAGCACCACGACAAAATTAACTCTAGGGTAGCACGTGCTCTGTCTGTCCTGCAAGAAAGCTCCTACCAGGCCCAGAAAAACACTGTGGGGAAAGGATATAGCATCTGATGAGTGGCTTCCTCTTAGAAGAGAGGAGGGACGGTAGGATGGAGCACCTCCAGTGAACTGTTACCTGTAACACTGTGTTTCTTTCTAACAAAATCTCTAGCAGCAAGGGCAAAATGTTACCATGCATTAAACAGCTGGTGAGTGGAAGATAACTTGTTATGTCATCTTCTGCTTTTTGTTTGAAATGGCCCAGGTCCTTGGACCCTGCACCCACATGGGAGACCAGGAGAAGCATCTGGCTCAAGGCTTCGGATCAGTGTGGTGTGCTGGCCGCAGCGGCCATTGTGGGGTGAACCAACAGAAAAGGAAGACCTTTCTCTCTGTCTCTCTCTCTCACTGTCCACTGCCTGTCAAAAACAAAACAACAACAACAAAAAAAGAAATACACCATAATTAACATTGTCAAATGTTTAAGCAGGGAAATTCTGATAGACTTAAAGTCACAAAGTTCTGACCCAGCCTTCTTCTCAGAGGAGAGGGAGCAGGCATGAAGGTAGCTGCTGGTAGGACTTGGAGGAGCTGGCACCTCTGGCTGGATGAGCATTGTTTAGGCACAAGCAGCTGTGGTGCCGAGACTGGGGCAGCACATACGTGACACAGAATCTGTCCCTCCTCCCACGCCCAGATCCCATTGTTGAACAGGGCTACCACGTTCTGCGGCTTCCTCTGTGGAAGACAGCCTTTTTAATGATGTATCTATTCTGCCACCTAGCCTTCGGCACAGTCACTGCAACAGCCCTGTAGTTGTGTGTCCCTCTCCTGCAGAGACCATAGTGTCCCCAGACATCCCGCACGTACGGAGGGACCTAAACAACTGGGGGCTTTGCTTCTTGAAGATCATTGTTGCTTAGTTTGGGGCCAGGATGAGGGAACAGCATGAGTACGCCTCATCTGTGCTGGCTCCAGGGAAGAACCTGAAGTCGAGGTCCTGAGGATGCAATAAAAAGCATAAATAAGCACGTTTGAGAGAAGGATGAGCGCAATGCAGAGCTGAGGATAAAGATAAGACCCTTAGCCAACAATTCTCCCCTCTAGTCAGAAGGCTCCATAATACTTTATGTCATATTCAAGTCTGGCTTCCTCAAACTATGCTATCTGGTATAGTCCTTGCCTTGCAAATCACTTAGGAACTCACAGAAAGGGACCCCAGGCAAGGACTCTTCAGCTGTAAATGCTATCTCACCTATGAAAGGCTGCACAGATCTTTCACTTGGTTGCATTTCTTAAACCTTGGTTTTGATACACAGTTCATTTTTAAAGAAAAAAAAAAAGAGTGATCCCTGAGCAAGTGAGACATAAATGGGTGACACTCGATTCCTACTTCTCCAAGTAAGACTTAGTTGAATGGAGTCAAAGCTGCTCTTTGCCAGAGTTGGAAAGCTCACAGCTGCAAAAGCAAGTCCACAGCAAAGGAAGTCCTGGGGCAGGGTACCTGGCCTCTGACATTAGCATCTGCCAGGAATAAATGAGCCCCTCCCAGCCAAACTCATGGAAGAAAAACTATGCTGTTTTCCAAAGCAATCTTCTAAAGAGGGCTGTGAACAGAATGGAAGGGGAGCATAAACAGAATCAGGAAAGGATCATGGACATCCCCACTTCCCCCTACACCGTCGTAACAGAACCAACACACTCCCCTTCCACTGTCATGCTCTGATTATGAGAAGCAAAGCTCATCTAGCCAATTCCCCGTCTTTGGACCAAGCCACTTTAGACAATCTCAGGTGACTGAGAAAGCTTCTCTCAGCCCCTCTCCCAGAGCCTACCCCAGCAGCCCCAATTCCTGAATCCCTCCTCACATAAGTCCCTTTCAAAGTTGGGACAAAGAGTGCCTGCCTAGCAAGGACACAGTAGCAGAGGAACCTCTGCGGGAGGCCCCACCCACCTCCTACCACACTCTGCACCTTCCTTCTCCTTTCCTCATCCATCCCCTCTTCTTTTATCCGAGCCTCAGGAAGAAGGCCACCTCTCTTGGAATACAAAGGGCCTGGAAATAGGCCACTCACGTTCCTTGAGAAGGAGCACCACCCTTTCCCCATCCAAGCTGGCTTCTGCAGGTGCACCTGGAGTAGACTGAACCAAGGAGGTTCAGAAAGAGGAGCAGGAACTGGAACCCCCATTACACACCACTCTGCCAGTCTGAACTTGACACAAAAGAAAAAAATGACCCCTGATCTCCCTCACTTCTCACCAAGCTTTCAGGTATCCATTTGAGTCGCAAGGAGACTTGTGTGACTTTTTTTTTTTTTTTAAATCGTTACTCGGGAAGTCTCCCTCTCCCAGCCAACACCTAAAACCCCTTTGGCAACAGGAGCTGAAGCACCACTTTAAACTTCAGGCTTGTTTTAAAATGTGCCTTTTGGCAAATAGATAAGTGAGAAAAAGATCGGGATCTGGGGGGTGTTAACAGCACCAGGCGAGATTCTCCTGAACCGAACTAGCAAGAGAAATATTTTCTTCAAGGCAGCCGGCCAGGAAGAATTCTTATCATAGATAAGGGTGCAGTCTAGTGGCAAACTTCGTGAAATGCAACAGCCCCTTCTCCAAAGCAAAGTTAGAGCCCATCTCAAGGGAGCCAGGGCTGTGTAAAGAGCCTCGCCCCGAGGTCTCCCCCAAAGGGATGGTGACCTTGGTCCTCTCTCCCTGGCCTGCCTGTGAACCCCATAACCCACCCACAGAGACTTTAGGAAAAGCTAAACAGAACACCTGCCTTCTTTCAAGACTCCAGCTTTCTTTCATTTTACTAAGGAAACAGCGGTCCCAGAGTGTTAGAATAGACTGAGGTTTTAAACGTCATGGTGAGGGCTCTGGTAGGAACCCCCTCTCTGGAATGTGCCTGCCGGCACCCCTCACTCTTATAAGAAGGTGTCCTGCTCTGTCACGTGGCTGCCCAGGAGAAATAGAGGGCCAGGGCCACACCTGCTGGCTCCCCTTCCCTCTGAAAACCCACACACAAACACACAGCAAGTTCTTCAGTTGTCACAGGGTTTCTTCCAGCAAGTGTCAGTTCTGCCACTCAGGGCTCCCGACAATGCTGTTGTGAGAATGTCCCTTCCTACAAGACTGTGCAACACTCACCCCCCCACACACACACACATTCCCCCAGCTTCCAGGGCCAGCCCTGCGGCTGAAGGCAGGTGGCTACTTCTTGCCTCTGACTAAAGACAGTCCAGCCCTAGCCCCCAGCCACACAAATGCCCCTGCACCAAATCCCCTTCTTCAGACTCTGGTGGAGGAAAATCCAGTTTTTCTTCTTTTTTGCCTCTCTTTAGCTCAGCTCACCATCCATGCCTGGCCAGCCTACACTACCCGTCCCCAAACACACACACACACACACACACACACACACACACCTTTCATGGTAACTCAGGCACCAGCATAAAGTCCTTGTACAGAGCTTGGGAAGCATTTATTGGGCACCGTATACATCCAGTGGGTTCATAAGAAAAGGGCTTCTGCCTCCAGCCTGCGCCCAGGCCGGTTAAGGGGACAAGAGGGAGGGGACCGAGTCACTCTCATTGTGTTCGCCCTGCTCCGCCGAAGAACTGCGGCTTCCACTGGCCCCTCCACCTCCTCCACGCCCTCTGCAGCCCCAGCCAGTCCCCCCAAGCCCCTCTCTTACATTCCGGGGGGAGGGGGCCGCTGTCCAGGGAGCGGAGGGGAGCCCCCGCGTGTCTCGAAGGCCTCTCCCCACCCCCACCCCGTGTGAGTTTGCGCTGCAAAGCTCCTTGGCATCCTCTCCCGGGTTGGGTGTTGGGAGCTCAAATTGCAGCTACAAACTGGCTGCCAGCCAGGGGCCGGCTATTTAAAAGCGCCGGCTCCACCAGAGCCCGTAGTCTCTTTGGAAACTTCTGCCAGGAAAGAGCTACGAAGCGGTGTGGGCTTTTTCCTTTTTTTTTTTTTTTCCTTTTTCTTCCCTTTTTTTTCCTCCTTTTAATTAGCCCTCCTCCGTTTGCACCCTTCTCCTACTGCACGCAGAACCTGCGAATTTCGAAGAGGTGGTGACAGAGTGGGAGAAAAGAGGTGCTAGGGTTTAGATTTATTTTTCTTTTATTTTTCTTTTTCTTTTTTTTTTTTTTTTTTTGCTTCTTTGCCTAGTTTCTTGATTTTCTCCCACCCTCTCGGCTGCCGCCAGCTCCTCTTACCTGTTCCGCTGCAGCCGCGCGCCGCCCGCAGCTGGAGGTTAGAAAGGACTGGGGGTGTATTTTAAATTTTAAGCAAAAAAAAAATTTTTAAGACCAATCCATTTTTCTCCTCCTCACCCCCCCCCCCCGAATAACCCCTTCTGCACAGCCTTCGAACTCATTATTTCGGAGGTTGCTTTGGGGTTAGCGATTTTGTGGCTCCCGCCCACCTCCCCTACAGCTCTGACCCGCTCGGGCTCCGGGCTTTTTCCACCCTCCGCCCACCCTGAGTGCACCTGGCGAGGCTCTCCCCCTCCCACCCTCCAAACCTGTTGCACGCCTTTAATCCCTGCAACCGGGACTCGCTTGCAGCCGCCTCAACCCTCCACCCCCCGCTACATTTTGCAAGTGTCTGGAGAAGGCACCTGCTCTACCTGCCAGACTTAAAAGAAAAAATCTCCGGGCTCCCTCTTGGCCCCCTTAACTCCCTGCACTCTCGCTCTCCTGCCCCGCCCCGAGGGAAAGCGAGAGACTCGAAGATGGTGCTCACCGCGGTCCTCTTGCTCCTGGCCGCCTGCGCTGGGCCGGCCCAGGGCCTGGGCTCCTTCGTGCACTGCGAGCCCTGCGACGAGAAAGCCCTGTCCATGTGCCCCCCGAGCCCCCTGGGCTGCGAGCTGGTGAAGGAGCCGGGCTGCGGCTGCTGCATGACTTGCGCCCTGGCCGAGGGGCAGTCTTGCGGCGTCTACACTGAGCGCTGCGCACAGGGACTGCGCTGCCTCCCGCGGCAAGACGAGGAGAAGCCGCTGCACGCCCTGCTGCACGGCCGCGGGGTTTGCCTCAACGAAAAGAGCTACCGCGAGCAAGTCAAGATCGGTGAGCGCGCTCGGGGTGCCAGTCAGCTGCGCGGCGCAGGGCGGGGGACTCGGGACGCGCTGGGCCCGCACGCTTCGCGCAGCAAGTGGCCTCGGGCTGGGGTGCAGTCCGGGAGGAGCCGAGGAGGGTCATTGTACCTGGGGATTGGAACCTTGGCCAGTACTGCCGCCCTAAGCTGCTGTCCAGTGAGCAGCTCCCAGATTTCGCTCCTTCTCTTGCCACTTGCTGGGGTCCCACGCGACCCCTGCCCCCACCCCCACTTCCGACCACTAGCTCTGATCTCAAAGTCTAAACCCCAATCTGCAGTCGGAAAGGATGCCTGTTACATTATCGACTCCCTCCCCACACACTCCCCTTCCACGTTTTTTTTTGTTTTTTTTTTTTGTTTTTTTTTTTACCCTGAATTGGGGTGGGGGGGATCTCTTGTGAAAATACTGTTTAAATTCGGACCTGGAGAGGCGCTTCCCATCTTCTGAGCTAATTCCACCTTTGTGCCTCCCAGCTCCTCTCCCGCCTCCCCACCCCGCCCCTCGTCCCCTACTCCAGCGCCTCTGGACAACCTTTACATACGCAGACGCGCGCGCGCGCGCGCGCGCACAGGCACGCACACACAGAGACACGCACACAGACACGCGCGCACACAGACACGCACACCACTTCACTGGTCAGCAAGGTCTTGGGGGGGGGCCCTCGTGCCCCTCCCACTTGCACACCCACTGCTTTTGACTTGGTATGATTGATCGTGGTAAATGGTAAAATATATTACATTGCAAAATGGCATTTTTTTTTCCTTCCAGCAAGGGAAAGAATGTTTTAGGAGCACTGGGGTGGGGTTGCGGCTGGAGGGAGGGGCGTGCAGAAGGGTTTGGTGTTGTGTTCGGGGTATTTGTGTCTGGATCCAGTTCCTTCCCCTCCCCAGCTCAGAGGTTACCTTGGATGAAAGGTGAGCGTGCAGGCTCCGAGGCAAGGTGGGAGTGAGATGCAGAGTTGGCGATCTCCAAGCCTACGCCGACCCCTCATCCTGCCCCACCTCCCACCCTCCACCCCCCCCCTCCATTCCCCACCCTCCACCTCCCCCCATCCCTCAAACCAGATCATAAGGGGGTGTGGCGTGAGCGCTTCAGGGGCCTTGGAAACTACGAATACAAAATTCAGGGGGAGGAGACAGAAAAGGCCACGCACCAGGCCACCCCTTGCTGGCCCCGCCCCCGGTGGCCCCGCCCCCATGTTATCTGCGCCAGGCATTTAGGGCTTAAATGATTGACAAAGCTACTTGTTCAATCAGAACAGTTCTCCTCCTTGGGCTGTGTTTCTTTATAGAAAATCACCAAGTCTAAAATAAAAAAAAAAAAGTTTAATAAACTGTACACAGAAGTATGGGTTCTGAGATGTTAACTTGGTTACTGGTTATCTCCAAAAGTGGTTAGTTAAAATTGGTTCAGTATGCTTATTTAGTGTAGTTTCTTCCTGGGAACATGCCCATCTCCCCTTCCTTCACTCACAAGCACCCCAACACGAATTTTCTTAAGTGCAGACTACAGAGGCTGTCTTGTAGGAGAGCAGAGTCTCCGCGCTTGCCAAGAGGCAAGAGAGCTTTCCTGGGTTCGGTCCCAATGCCCGCAAACCCTACAGGTGTTGCCCATGGCTGGCGCCAGCACTCCAACTTCGCAAAAGGCAATCGTTCTCCGGATTGCAAGATGATATTAAAAAAAAAAAAAAAAAAAAAAAAAAAACAGAGGGAGGGAGGTGGGACTGCAGACACTGGAAGCACCAGAGGTCGGTTTGCGGGGTTATTTTTATTAAGATCCACTTTTCAAAGGCAGCCCCACCCGCCTTCAGCTGGGGGAATGTGGATTTGGAAAGGCTCAGCGCTGGGGAGGGTGGGGGAGGTATGAATTGATTTCCTGGCTTGGAAGGGAGCGCGCTGGCTCCAGTCACGTCGAAAATATGCAAGATATCATTCAGCCGCATCTTGGCCCTGCTTCTGTTTGCCCAATCCAGTGGCTGGTGTGGAAGGTGTGTGCTGAGGGCGCAGGCGCGCGCGCAGTTACTGGGAGAGTGGACGCATCCAATGTCCCAGTCTAACCCACTGGGGGCGCACGCGCGAGAACGCACGACTCTCGTCCCTAGGAGGGTCCTCTTTAGAATTCTCTACTCCCATTCAGGTGCACCCTCCCCTTCCCCACCCCCTCCCCAGCCCTTCTCAAAGTCCCCACCCTGCCCAAGGCAGGTGCCTGGCGAGCAGCAGTTGCGGGTTGGCTGCGCTCCCCGCGGCCAGGGCCGAGTAGGAGGGGGCGCTCCAGGATTCTGCTGCAGGGCTGTTGTTGGGTGGGTCCCCCAAAAGTTGGAGGAGACAGCTCTTAAAGAGAGGGAAATGGACAGAGGAAGCATGCCCTTTGGTCCTTTAGCCAAGATTCCTGCTCTCCAACTCCCTCTGCCCTCCCACCCAAAACCGAGCAGTGGAATGTTTAGGATACATTAAATATACACTGTGCAGATTCGAGGTCTTTATACCAGTATGTGTATATTACACATGATATGCATGGACTATAACGTGATTTATACAGCACACCTAACCAAAATCTATATCATGTATTTGTAGATAGTTTATATTACATAACCCCCAAAAGTGCATTTCTGGAGTGAGACAGAGAGCGGAGGAGAGCAAGGTGGCAGCCGGCCAGGACTTGGGGAGGGAGACCAGCAGGCGGGTTGGCCTGGTGTTTTGCTGGGCGCGTTGCTGGGTGACTGTAGAGGGAGTCGGCACAGAGCAAGGGTGCTCAGAGCTGGCCTGGCACTGCCTGCTCTACATTTTACTTCAGCCAGTTCAGGGGCAGAAATAGATATAGAAACAGAGAGTTGTGTGTGTGAGGCTGGAGGGGGCGAGAGCCTGGAGTTATTTATTGGACCAAATTCAATAAATATGAGTGAGCTGCAGTGACAGGAGGAAGGCCTGGGCTCTGCACTGGGTGTTGTTGGGGTGGGGGGGGGGCCTTGTGGCTTTTATGGGCGGCACCGGGTAGACTCACCCGCCCCAGGCTGGTGAGACATCAAATTTGAGCCAGAGAGGACAGTGGGTTCTGGGTTTCCATTCTGTCAGTGAGAAAGAAGAGACCAAGAGGGACAGAAAGTATGCCTCTAGGGAAGAAGTCAGGAGGGAAACCTGCCCTCCCTAAAATAAAAGGAATTCAGCCTTTGACGCTTGGAGGGGTTTGGCCCCCATCACCCTGGGTTCATCTGCGAGCCTGGTCCAAATGCCATGTTGAAGCAAGTTCCAGACTGAGGCTCATTGGCCAAATTTATGTCTGGGTTGAACACGATCATGGAAAACTGAGGGAGCCAGATTGCTTTCCCACTCACACTCCCTCCCTTTGAAACAAGTCTTTTAGAGACTGGCTGTGCTTGTAGCCAACCAAAACGGAGTTAGGAAGGCCAGTGATGATGGTGCATTAACTCGACTTTTCTTTCCCTTCTTTCTGCTGCGTCAGCTCAGACTGGAAGAACAAGGGTAGCTGGCCATGTGCAAGCTCCTTTTCTGTCCATTTCCCCTTTCTCGGCTCCCTAACCCTCCCCCAACTGGAAGGCAACCCCTGAGGGGCAGCAGCTGTGAGTCAGTCCTGGGGCTGGGGCTGGGGCCGGGGCTGAGCAGGCAGGTGGGCCCACAGCTGCAGAGGGAGGGCCAGGCTGACCCGGGAGCCAGAGGTCAGCGTGAGGGTTACAGCAAAGGGCATGGGAGCAGGCACCCCTGCAGAAGCCGCCGTCCCTTCATGCAAGGGGGAGGAGCTAGAGGGAAGGGGGTAGGCTCTGTCTGAAGCTTTTCCTTTGTACCTGAGTAATGCCTGAGAAACTTGAAGATTATTTAATTGTGTGGAAAACAAACCTCTGGCAAAGGGACCAGCACACTCCAGACCGGCTGCAACCAGAGCTGGAGGAGCACAGTGAGCACCGAGGGACCCCCGAGGCAGAGGCGAGAGGGCAGCACCAGGGTTCCATTGGGAGACAAGGAGGTAACTGGGAAGGGTTCTGTTTAGTTTGACTTTTGCACTTTTCCTACAGTGTTGTCACAGTTGCAATTCCCAGACACCATCCTGAACTTGTGATCTGGAAGCATTACTGAAAGCAATAAGATTGAGGACATGTCTGTGGAAATAAGGAAGCAGATAAACCAGGAAGCCAGGGTAGACTTATTCTACAACCCTTCCCCAAGATCAAGAGGACCCCCCACACACTGCTTTTGTTTCCAGCTCCCTTTCTGTCCATGATTTCCATTATAAGGTCATTTCTTTCTTTTTAAAATACTAAGCCAGAGGAGAGACTGGAAACCTCTGTGACAGAGAAGGTGGCCTTTCCCACAGGACCACTTGGCTTAGCCCAGTCCTAGCATCTCTCCAGGAATTGTCTGGGTATTGGCCAGAGAATGCCAGAGTTGGGAGGCACCCAGAGGCAGCATCACAGTCAAGGCCCTTTGTTTTACTGAGGACAAGCTGAGGCCCAGATTGGGAAGTCACTTGTCCCAGGTGAGGGGCAGGACTCGAACTCAGCTCCTGCCACTCCTTTCTGCCATTCCTACCTGCTTTGCCAGCCACAAGCACCCTTGTCCAGGCCTGGTCTGAATAGCAGCAAGGCCTTCGGCAAATATTGGCAAGTGCTGCCCTCTGGGGTGATGTCTGTGATGATGAAACCCTTTAGGGAACCCTTTGCTGGAACCCTCAGGGTGATTCTGAGGTGCCCGTTTTTAGGGGCAGCAGGGGGAGGAGTGGAGGAATCACAGCAGAGAATGCAACACTCTGTTATTTCATACCCACATTTGCTCTTTTCCTACACAACCCTGCAGACAGGGCCAGCTCGCGCCAGTGGCTTAGTTTGAGACAGAGGACAGGGACGGGCTATGAAGAAATGTCGTTCCACCCACCCTGCAGGTTCAGGCACCAAATCTCACTTCCTGGGTGGCAGGGGGCTCTCCTGATGGGGGCAGGCGGCCCCCCATCTCCAAGGAGAAC